TCACCGTTTGCCTCTGGTTGCTCGAGAAGCTCGGTCCAGAAAAACGGCGCCATCCTGCGATTCCCCCTTGCTGCTTTCCATCTCAGTGGCAAGTACTTTGTTGCGCGTTTATATCTCCCCCGCCGCAGCCCCAATCCAGTTCAAGTTTGAATCTTTTGACCCAATTCTCGGCGTCCGTATATATGTAAATCTCCGAGAGGTTTTGATCGATTCAATGTGACCGCATTTCATCAACTGTTCCGTTTCGAAGGCGGAGGAAGAAGATGATCATACACGAATCCGGGTCAAGAACTAGGGAGACTCGGATACCCGGGTTTCTTACGTGGGTTTAAGATTTTTGCGATAAATAAATAAATAAAATATTTATTTGTTCTTACACATCTCATGTCCCAAAAATGTTAATGCTCTCTATATTATTACAATAAGGTTCCCATGACATTGGAATCCAATGTTATGGATGACCCGGGGCCGCTCCGGTGCCTCGTTTGTAAAATTGACGGTTCCTACCCCCTTAACCCCCCGGTAAACCCCCCACCCGGCCCCGACCCGAACACACCCCCCTACCCCCGTCAATTGCACCTCACAAGTTGATTTTGACTTTGGAGTCAAAATTTGACTCCAAAGTCAAAATCAACTTGTGGGGTGCAATTGACGGGGGTAGGGGGGGTGTTCGGGTCGGGGCTGGGTGGGGGGGTTTACCAGGGGGGTAGGAACCGTCAATTTTACGAACGGGGCACCGGAGCAGCCCCGGGTCATCCCATGACATTGGATTCCAATGTCATGGGAACCCCACCCTATTATTATGATGTCTATTCCTTTAAATGTTGCAACATAACTCAACATTCAACAGAAATTATATTTTTGTATTACTCAGTATGTGATAACACATCAAAAGTGAGACATGAAAATTAAATAAATTTTTAAACGCTCATAGAAAATCTTATACAGTAAAAAATTAGTTATAAATCACTATCTTTAGATATTCATTACAACAATATTATCCAAGTATCCCAAATAATAACTTATGTCCAATGGTGAGAAATTTTTGAAGAGTAAGTTGATGGTATCACCTTAATTATTCATACTTTACTACCTTATATCTTTTTGGTCTCGTAAAAATAATGAAAAGCATTCTTTTTTAGTAAATTTTAAAAATAGCGCCTAATTACAAGTAATTTTTATTATTTAGTCTCTAGTTCTTAGATATTCTATAAATAGTTTTCAACTTTTAAAAATTATTCTATAATCACATAAATAATCTTTAATTTTTTTAAATTATTCCATAATCAATCCTTCATTGACTATTTGTGGAAAAAATATTTTTTCACATTTGACCTAAAGGGCTATTTACAAAATAATTTTCCAAAATTGAAAATCTTTTATGAAATATCTAAAAATCAAAAATTAAATATGGAAGACTACTTGTAATTAAAAATCATATATGTAATGTTCAGCAACTAGCATTTCATATCAATTCATATATTTTAATTTCAAAATTTGAAATCCTGAATTTCAAATAACAATGAGAGGTGCATAAATTTCAAATTAAACTTTATTATGAATGAAAAGAATTTGATTCAAATCCAAATTCAAAATTTTAAATTTCCAAACATGAAATTTGTACCAAATCCGAAATTGAAATCCAAATCCACATTCCCAAACATACCATTATGGAATTTACTCTTACATTTTTCATGTACCAAAAAAAATTAGTTTTTTTTCAAAGCAATGAATACGTGACTAATTTTTTCATAAATCTTTTCTTCTTAACAAATTCTAACTACTTTTCCTTTTAATCATCAACATTTTTCTTAAATTTGGTGGCCAGACACATCAAATTTTTATGCACTATATTGTCATGTTCAGTAAATTCATTCATCAAAATAACATATTGGTACGAGGTTCTAATAGGGACTGCAATTCATTGTTGCTCATATGCAAGTAAACAACAAAATAACTCAGTTTGTCAAAGTAGAATCCCACATAAGTAGGGTCTGAAGAGACTAGACTAACCAAAATTTTATTTGTTGCCAAGGAAAAAACAACCCCATGGCCTATACAAAAATATAAAATGTCCATATCAATACAGAAAAATATGGATCAACGGATCATCAAGAGAACAAGATGAACACGCAAACATCACAAACACGAAAAAAAGGGTGTATAAATAAATATATACATATATGAAGAACGTTGATCCTCGTTCAGTAAGAAGGTTCAGGGCCATCATGGAGGGCACAACAGACTGTTGCCTTGTGATGCCCTTGGTACACTTTGATGTCTTTACCAGTTGACAGTGACCACAATCTTGCCGTGCTATCCGAAGATGCTGCAGAGAAGACACCATATTAGAGAGGAACTGGCCCCAATTCTCCACTTTCATGGCTAAAGATGGGAAACCCTAACATTGGGTGATCTAAAAGCGAAAACTTGGTTTTTTTAATGAACATATATAGGCTACGTTTAGCACAGCATAAGCCATAAGCTAATTTATGGCATATATAGCTATTGGTTTCTTAAAAAAATGTTTGGAATATGATTTGTTTGGTTGACTGAACTTATTTCATAAGCTTCATGGAGTAGCTTTCCAAATTTAAGCTCATGGGTTTATTTTACATTATTTTAGCATATGTTTTCATGCCTTTTTTATTATTATTTTCAACTAGTTTCTCGATAAATCATTCACACTACACGAAATGGGTTGCCAAGCATAGCCTTCGATCGGTACCTGTGATTAGAAAAGCACCATCCACGGAGAAAACACAGTCCCAAACCCACCGCTCATGTCCTAAAAAATACACACAAATGCCACAAGACACAACTCACATTTAGCCTATGATAAAGAGTAGAAATAATGCTGGTTTTGAGTATAGTATCGAGTACCTATGAGAGTTTTCTCCAAGGTAAATCCGTCCACATTCCATATTTTGACGGTATGATCAGAAGATGCAGTTGCCAGATACCTACAGATGAGATCCCAGTATTCTTAGGATATGCTCGAAACGTGGAAGTTGGTAGGTTAAAGAACGAAAATGCAAAGAGAAGGCATTCTTATGTTCGGCTATAACTCAGAAAATACACATGTTTAGATTTCTTAGAATTTATATGATAGAAATACATAAACATAATGAATTTGAAGAAACATTAAAAACTAATTGACTTTAACTACGATGCTGTTTTGTCCTCCACATTTTCTTTTCTTCTCGTTTTCTCCTATATTTTCCTCCTATTTTGTTTCCCTAGCATTTCCAAGTTCCAAATGGACCCTTCCTAGACATAGTAGTGATATAGGAAGGAAAATTTGAAAGAAAGTAAACATAGGGGGAAATTAAGAGATAGCCTAAAACTCAATAAATCTCATTAAAATATTTTTTGGAACTCATTTTATTTTTTTATATTCTATTATTTAAAGACTAAAAAAGCTATTTTTTAAACAATCATTTTAGTTTTTCTTTGCATTTCCCAACGGAAAACCCGATTGCCAGACATTAGATAATTTCCTCACTATTTTTTTCTATTTCCCTGGCATTTTGCAGGATAAAAACAAACGCCCTAAGAGATCCATTCAGATCCCAAAAAATACTACAAAAAGAAAACATGAAGGAAAAATAGAGAGGAATTTGAAAGAAAGAAAGAACATGTGAAGGGAAAACAAAGATAGGATGAAACTCAATAAGCTTGTCCTGGGTATTTATTGATATCCATTTTATTTATTTATTTATTTCATGTAAATAAAGACTAAGAATTTAAAAGTGTAGAAATGGTTAGTAAAAACCCACATTTCATCTTCCTTTTATTTTCCAAAATAAAACCAAACTAAAGAGAACTTTCTGTAGCACTTTTTTTCCATACCATTTTCAAGAATTCAAACATACAAGAGTTCAAAAAGCCGCACAAATCTGAAAAAATAACAACAATAAAAAATGATATATTCTAGAGGTGGCCAAGAATGTCTAACCGGTGAGGTTCACACAGCTCAGGGGAAAGAAGACATTTGAGGATGTATCCATCATGCGCTTGTAACTTATGTAAGGGCTCAAAGTTGGTCATGGTCTTCAGTTAAATGAAAAGTCAATATCAGTAATGTATATCGATTGCCTTCAAAAAGAGGTGAAACGGAGAAAAACTAGATTTATAAAAGATGCAAATAAAGGAAAGATGCTTTAGTGAGAGAACAAATCAATCAAATATTCAAATCTTATAATGTTATTGAGAGAACAAGATTTTTGTCTAACAAAAGAGTCTTGTTTGATCGAATGAAGCTAATATTTCTTTTAATACTAAAAAAGAGTCACAACTTACAAACAAGTTACACATGGAAAAATTCAACCAATAAAGAAAATTTTAAAAACACAAGATGACATTATTTATGACCGTTGTACCTTACCAAAATAAAAAATCTCCTATGGTCATACATGACTTTTTTGACATAAGTCGTACTCCCTCCCTACTAATTTGGGGAATAGGGTAGTGGCAGAAATATTACAAAATACATATTTGGTTGGTTGATATTGATGTCGAAAAGAATGAAAAAGAATGAATTTGAGCAACACACACATTGCCAAATCCTCAATGTAGTATTGAACAAAAATAGTACAAACAAAAAAAGTAACAAAAAGAATGGGATAAAGAGGGTAAAGAGTGGCAACAATAGTGAGACAGATGCATTATATATTTAGTTATTTACTGAGTTTATCCTTCTAAAAGTTGGCTACGCTAAAGTTAAATGAAATGTTTGCAAATCTTTGGTACAAAAAAAAGTACAAAGAATGAGGAGCTGGGTGTGGGTGTGCTACTGTAGTCACCTGAGTTCCACGCAATAAACGCCAAACATAACATGTTCCATGATTGTTCGCAGCCACAACCAAGCTTCCATCCCACATTACAGTCAGAGACCTAATAGCAGTATCCACCTCAGGAACCTGAATTTCTCAAATAAACAAATAAAAACGTAAAAATAGTTGTGGCTTGCATAAACAATATATTAGCAACATATTACACAAACAAAATGGATAATGAGTTCCCATAATCAGATGTTTAATTGTGGATAAATTTAATGTTATGTTCACTGTATACCAATTCACAGCTGCATGCATTTGCTTTCAAGTCCCAGACTCTAATATTTCCATTCTGGTCACCAGATATAAGCTCAGTCTGCAACAATTCCGAAGAATGAAATAACAAAACAGGCAATAAAGCCCAAGCCCGGATACAACTATGTAGATTTCTTGTAGAAAACATTACTCATATTTTTTAAAGAACAATGGCAAAAGATGAATTTATAGTGTTAACCAATTTTAGACAACTAATTCCAACAAAACCTGGTTTGGATGCAAAATAACTGTGTTAACAGCTGCGCGGCTTTCATATTCTCTCTGAAATCCTGGTGCCCTGTTTTTATTTAAAAAAATACAAACTTATATTAGAAATGACAATATTAATAGAGAAGATACAAAATGCACTTGACATCTAATGCCACCTCAAATCCCAAATCTTTACTGTGCCGTCTTCAGAACCAGAATACATCCAGTTACCATCACATTGAAACCCTACTGCCATAACATTGCTAGTGTGTGAGTCAAAGCTTTGTACCTTCCATAGAAGCAAGATGTTTTTTATTAGGAGAATGAAAGGGCATAGGAGCATAGTTATATATTTGAAAAATTATAAATGGAGACCCAAAAAATGGGAGAAAGATCCAGATATTTACAGGTTGATGATTGTTAGAATTGATGTCAAACAATCGGATGTGAGGATTGCCTGCTGCAGCCAAGAAATGTTTGTCCGGCGTAATCTCAACCCGATTAACTTGCTATTGCAAAAGATATTACATAGAAGATGCATCAGATTCCACTAGTAAAAAAAATGGAAATTACTTTAAAGTTCAAATCCCCATCACGTTTTTCAGTGCAGATACTAAACCGATTAGTTGTTCACATTCGAATTTCTACCCAAATATATCAATGCAGCAAAGTTCAGGAACATGACAAATTATACAGTTCACGGTACCAGATTACCCTTTTCCATAAAGCAAAACGACAATGCGGTCTTAGGATGACTTACTGATTCTGGGTATTGGATGGTCCGGTAACAGCGGGCACTTTTCGCCTCCCAAAACCGAATAGTGTGATCATAACTAGCTGTTGCTAGCAAAACTGATGGTTGTGCCATCTTAATTCCCTTCCTCCTATTTGAAGATTAAAAAAAGGAATCAACTTTATGGGTGCACTGAATCCAATATATACATATATTACCCACACATATATGAAATGCGATTAGATTAAAGAAAATGATACGCTTCAAATGGTTTTTGTTCATTAAAAACAACCTGAGAAGCCGGCTAGATGTTAGATGAACAAATTGGGGATTTCGAGATGAACTAGGGTTTTGAGAGGGTTACAAAAGGGGGAGCAGTGCGGAAGCTGAAGAACAAGGGCCGATCCCATAGTAAGCCTAAACAGGAAAAAAATGGATTAATTTTCAGCTCTGTACCGAAAGGATCGAAGACTGATGTTCATCTCAGATGGCAAAGTGGGGCGGGTAAATTTGGATATGGCGCCCACCTGCTCGCTTGGAGTGAGGATGAACAGGACTCTGCCCTGGGGTTTTGGTTCAAATGGAAAAGGGATCAGGCGAAAGGTTTAATGGGGACTGGGTGTTCATTCGCCATTAGGTAAAACCAAGTCTTGGTGAAGAAGACCTGTAACTAGTAGAGTGAGGGTATGAGAATATGAGATGTCCATGGTTAATGAGTTTGGGTTATTGGGTTGGATAGAATTATAGAATCTTAATACTCCCTCCGTCCTATAATGTTATTTCCGGTTCATTTTACGAGATTTGATCGATTTTATTTTCAATTCAATTTATTTAATTGTAAGTGTAAAATTAAAAAATAAAATTTATATATTTAAAAATACATCAAAAGCTCTACAAAACAAGTGATGACAAGACTATATTATTTTATCTAATATCTAATAAAAATAGGTAAAGAAAGTGATTAAAGTTTGACCGAGTAAAAAGTGAGTAGGAAGAACATTTTAGGACGGAGAGAGTAATTCGGTATTGTGTAAAAACCTAATCACCAATTATATTTCGTAAAATCGAACTGAAAAATTAATGTATCAAAAAATAAAAATTTAATATCGAACCAAAATTTTTTATCCGATTTTGTTACATACCAATAGATTATATTTCATAAAATTGAACTGAAAAATTAATGCATCAAAAAGTAAAAACTTAATATCGAACCAAAACTTTTCATCCGATTTTGTTACATACCAAAAGATCTGTTGGTTTGCCAAATTCTGCACACTTTTATTGGCAGCGTACAAGGTCTTTGGATTTGACCCCTTGTACATATATTGCAATTGAACTCCACTGCCATTCCCGGTAAGGATGCAAAAATACCAATTCGACATTGTTCTAAATTAGACGACGTTGTACCAAACCAAAAAGTGAGTTTTCAAATGATTCTAGTAACTATATTCCGAACCGAATCGAACTATTTTTAAAATGGTACGGGACATGTTCCCAAAGAATAAAAATTGAAAATACTGAACTGAACCGTTACCACTTAAACTTATTTTATTACCCCAGAGTATAACTTAAATTATGATTTAATTTGTTGAAAATAAAAGTAAAATTATGTTTTATGAAAAGTTGTACTCAACTTGTAGCTGGTCATGAGTAGTTAGTTTTCGACTACTTTGTGGAGGTCCCCGTCTATACTAACGACCAATTCAGGCGTCGATTCCGTACGAGTCAACGGTCATTTCTCCGTATTGCTGATGACTTGGCAAATACAAACCGATTTTTTACTTAACAATCCGATGCGAGATTGAGAGGGGGGGGGTTACAGCGTTACATAAATGCACGGCGACAATAAGACAACTAGCGTACGACACAAGTAGTGATTCGTGGGATGAGTATCTTCAGATGTCAAATAGAACGACCCAGGAATGTTTGTACAAGTTTGCCAAGAGTGTCATCATGCTATATAGCAAACAATATTTGCGTAGACCAACACGAAGAGACATTGAGAAGTTATATGCCTCCCACAATGCTAAACACGGATATCCTGAAATGTTGGGCAGTACCGATTGTATGCATTGGGCATGGCATAACTGCCTAAATGTGTGCCGTGGTCAATACACACGCGGTGATCACAGACATCCGACAATAATGCTTGAAGCTGTGGCATCGCAAGATATTTGGGTCCTGCATGCATTTTTTTGTGTAGCGGGGCCGAGTAACGACTTGAACGTGTTGAATCGCTCCATTCTTTTCGCCAACACCATAGAGGGTGTTGCAACCGACTCTCCTTTTACAATGTCGGGGGTGGAGTACAAACACGATTACTATCTAGTTAACAGTATATACCTCGAGTATGCGGTTATAGTGAAAAGTTTACCATTTCTTGAAGATGAAAAGAGGAAGAAATCTACGACGTACTAAGAAGCAGCAAGAAAAGATGTTGAACGACTCTTTGGTGTGCTAAAAAAACGGTGGCATATTGTGCGAAATCCAGCGCGTCCTTTCACACTCAAAAATTGACACATTATGTATGCTTGTATCTTGTTATACAACATGATACTCGAAGACGAAGGGCGTGCAATATGCGAGTACAAAATGAAGTTGTTGATAATGTTGTGTCAAATATGTTGGCATTACATAATTGGGAAACACATCACTGCCTCCGCGGCGATTTGATAGATCACATTTGGTCTATGAACGAGTAATTTTTTTAATTCTAGTTTTTTTCATAATTATTTCTTAATTACGTTTGTAATTATTTTAATTATGCATCAATCTTTAATTAATGTCTCATTTTAATTATATTCTTTTTTCCATAATTATACTCTTTTATTTATAATGAATGAAATGCTTAATATAAATTTTTAGATCTTAAAGTATCCAATTATTATTTAATGTTCTAGTTTATTTAATTATTTAAATTAAAATATTAGTTGTAAATGAAATGTTATAAAAATAGTATTTTAAAAAAAATAAAAAAAGAATAAGGATGGAATGATGATGACACCCCTAGATGAGGATGAGATGGAGAAAACTGATATGATGCTGAGTTAGAAGTTGAGATGGTGAGGATGCTCATGATGGCACCCCATAGTCTTAAGATGTTTTTTCCTAGTTTAAATATATGACAAGATTTATAGTGTAGTTCATAGAGTACACTCCGTATAATAAAATATTCTTGTCGTGTTTTGTTTTATAAAACTTTGGATATAATTTTTAAATATATAAATTTTATTTTATTACTAATTTGTAAATTAACATTACTAAGAATCACAAGATTTTGCATATTTTACTCCGTATTTGCAAAAGATTGAAGCAAATTCTATGATGGACCCGAACAAAACAAGCATTTCTTAACTAATTAAATAATCATTTAATTGTTTAAATAAAAAAATTAATGTGATAAAACCTACAAAATTGATATGCACCTAAAGTGCACCAAAAAGAACTCAAAGATTCATGGTGGACTTGGATTCATAATAAGAACTTTTTTAAAAGATGTTTTTAGAATTAAGCTATATGTACATCTAAAATTATACTTCAAAAGCATGTACCAACATTTTGTGGTATTGCAATAAACATTTTTTTGACTAAACTAGCATTTTGTGCCCGCATTAAATGTTAAAATACTAGTGCAATGATTGGTGTTTTTATCACATAAAAAACGAGTGAAAAATTCCATTGAAATCATATCAGATTTGACATAAGTGATATTCTATTTTGCAATGAATGTGATGGAGCTACCCAAAGAATATGTGTAATTGTGGTGCACAGAGGCCTAGAAAGATTCAGTGCCCAAACCGTTCGTTCCATTAGTACCCAGTAAAACAAAGGAATTTGTCTTTATTTTTATTCTCTACTCGGAGTATTATTTTTAGAGGCGAAGTCTTTGTACATAATTTTGGTGGTTAGGGACTTGCAGAGTTGCAGTTTTGGAGTACTAGAAATTTATACGGGGAGTACTTTGGTAGTAAAAACTCAATATTCCGTACGAAGATCTTTCTTCAATGCTAAGTTTTGCAGAGCATTTTTCATCTGAAAATTTAATCCTCATCCACTCAAAACAGTGGCACATCCATATATATAAATATGAACAAACATGAAGAACAAACTCATTCCACGAATCACAAGCATGTTCATCAAGCTCAGTTTGTTCAGCTTCGTGCTACTCAAACCCTTTGTGAGGCAAAATTTTGGGCCAAAACTCATTTCACAGCATAATACAGAAGCAGAGCATTACGAATTAGATACAGAGCAATTGCCAAACAGGGAATAACTCCAATAACACAGAATCACGAATCGGAACAGAGCAATTTATACAAAAACCAACGATTTCATATTATATAAGTGTGAATAATTCTCAGGTATGTGATATAAATAATGATAATAATATCTGCGGCTCAGATCATCGCCTCAAACGGCAACGCCGAAAACCAAGCAGACGAACGGTAACAATAATAACAACGTAACTGTGTAATCACTGGATGAAATAGCAGTAATTAAAGTAAAAAAAAATACATAGCGGAATAGATCGACGAACATTGAAATCAGTGCCTGAGAAGAGCGGAAACAGAGAGCAGGAGAGATCCTACGATCACGACGGCGGAGATCGGAGAGGCGAAGGCGGATCCGGTCACAGGAGCCGGTGCTGGGGCAGAGACTGGCTGAGCGGAAGCAACCGCGGAGAAGACGGCGAGCACGGCGGCGATGAGGAACGCCTTGGCGATGGTGAATTGGGCCATTTTCTTTGAAGGATGAGAGGCGATTTCTTCTTCTGATGAGGGGGAGAATCTGAGAGATGTGATCGTTTTTAGGGTTCCGATGAGAAACAGGGAGGGAGAAAGATGCGTATTTATAGGAGGAGGTGGTGGGTGTATGCGCGTGAATTGGGAGACTCCGAAGGGAGCCGTTAGCCTAACGGCGTAGTCAATACGAAAAGGGCAAAGTCAAAAAGCAAATGTGGAAAGCGGAAGTTTCGCGAGGTTTGAACGTTACGGCGCCGTGAAAGGTGGGAGGTGGACACGTTGCGTTCTGTGGTTGGATCGAGCTGTCCAGAGCCTACAAAACACATGTAAAATTTTCTTCACATGTACTGTTGCATGATCCTGCCAACTAGGCCCATTTTGTATCTATTTGGGTCTAAATATATTCTTATTAAATATTTGGACCCAATTAAAATTTTAATCGATGAAAATATACAAATAAATAAAATTTCTTGTAACATTTGAATAGTAAATTATGAGATCCTTTTTAGACAAAAGAATAAAATACACCATTCTCTTAAAATATGATGATAAATTCTTTTGTCAATTTTAGGTACACGTTTATAAGTTTATTATATGGATGTTGATACATAAAATTATTGTATGTAGTGTGTTTTGTAAAATGAAAAAAATTCAATTATGAGTCAATTAAAGATAGGTCAAATATTTCCAATACCCCCCTCGTGATTTAGAAAATTAGTAGAAATACCACTTCTGTTTTTAAAATTTATTTTTAAATCTTAGTATTTCAAAATGTTGCACGTACACCTCATCTAATTATTTTCTAGCAATTTTCTGACAAAAAAGAGATATTGGTGCCTAATTTCTAAATCATTTTTAGTTTATTATTTTATTTTTCATTTTTAACTCTCTTTTATCTCTTTCTTCCCTAGAAAAGTTTTTTTAAATTGACGGTCGAGGGTGGGTTGGGGTACGGTTCTGGGGTTGGACCGTCTGTGGCGTGTCCATAGGGAGGGTGTCGGGCTGTCGTCCGTGACTGGTGGGACGGGTCTAGGGTTGGACCGTCAGTGGGACAGGAGCATGTGAGCCTGGGCTTGGAGGAAAAATA